TCTGATTTGTTCCCTGATTTTCAAATACTATTGTAACCTCATACTTGCTTGATGACTTCTCTGGTGTTAGAAATGGCTCAACAAGCAAACMTTTGTTTTTAAATTGTCCATTTCTTGCCTGAAGATCTGCTTCAGGTTGACAATGTGAGTGACTGTCTCCAAGTGCTCCAAATCTTCCAGCGGAAAGAGATTTGTTCACCTCMCATGGGGTACAACCAGCCGTTATGACAACCGCTCAATAAACACAGTTCGCACATTTTGTAGCATTGGCCAAATGTGTGTACAGTCTGACTCTTATGTACTTGGGTCTCAAATATTTGGGCTACACATAAAACTAACAAATTGTATGAATAAATTACAGCTTCGAGTTTTGGTACATTTTAACATAAAGCTATATTTTAAAGTACTTTGAAGTGTGGTATGATGCCTGTAACATAAATAGAAGATGTGCTGTCGAGTTAGTTAGCGTTAGCATGAATGTGCTGAAATTAGCCTATTTAACACAATCTAATCATTTGATGACCTAGTGATTTAATTGAGTTTTTGTTGCATTTTCAAGTTTTAGTTTTGTTAAGACGAGCTGAAATTATATAAAAAAAAGTTTTCTAAACTGTACATATTAAAAACATGTTTTTAATGGATCCACGTCGATTCAGGACAGAACTTTGGAACCAGTGACGTGTGGCCACTGTTAACTTGTAAACCTTAGAGTTGTCTCAGAAAATAGGTCTAAAATTATTCATAAAATTTGAGCTAAATTAAGTYTACTTCACAGCAATATGTTTCACAAAGTTGCCATAAAGATTTAATCAAGAGTAACATTTAGCTCTTTTTAGAACCAGAAACATAGTTTCCCTAAACTCAGAGTTAACTTTGTCAGAGTTTGACTGTATATTTTAGTTTAGTTTTTTGTCTGTTTTTACAGTTCATAAGGACAAAAGGTTGTGGGCTTTCTTGTTTTGAATAAATAGAAAAAAAGACCCATTCAATACTGAACCATGGAGTCGACAAGGCCTTAGACCAGGGCTATTCAATTGGCGGCCTGTGGGCCACATCCGGCCTGCGAGTGACCAAAGTTCGGCCCACCAGTTGGTTTATTCATCTCTTAAGTCCAAACCCCTGGTTTTCTACTTTAATTACTCTAAGTTCTTTTAGTTAAACATGGACATGTTTGGTATCTACAGAAACGTCAGWATCTTGGCTAGAAGCTGGTAAAAACATTTCTATAAACACTCAAGACAGTTAAAACTTCAAACAGTTGAAGATAAAATGATGGGAGTGAAAATAAAAKTTGTTTAAAAAATTTGGCAAATCAGAGATGTCAAAATATTATTTGTGCCTAATAGGAGGCATAATGTGTTCTTTTTGTTTTTGTAATTATCACTATTTTTATAGGGTTCTGTATACAGTATTGTATTCATGATTAAATGCAGCAAAATAAACCAATTCAAAGGTAACATATCTTTGTAATATTTGGTTTATTTACATAATAACTTTAATTGCTGGATGTTCGGCCCCTCAGCTGTTGACCGGCAGTAACTGTGGCCCCCGGAGCAGTTTAGTTGAATAGCACTGCCTTAGACATTTATCTGCCACCATTTGTAAAGCTTGTATCTCACTGGGCTGCGACTGTTGGCAACTAGGGGAGATGGAAACCCATTTGCCAAATAAGTTCTGACCTAGCAAACATTTACCTCACGTGATTCATCAGCTGTTCCTGTTGTTGGCATCATCCTGGATATTCCCATAACAAGAGAATCAAATTTCTTTTTTTACGTATACAGACAGCATGCAACATCACCAATACTAGTTGATATGACAATGATTACAACTTGACCGATAGCAGCACTTTCCTGAAAACTTCTCTTCGTTGTCCCAAGATATGTGGTCCCTGCTAGTTTACAGCCTCTACCTCTTGTTCACTACAGCCATGCATAACGTCAACGTCTGACAAAATTACGCTTCAGGTAGCCTGATTGATTCGCTACAAACCAGTAGATGGAAACATGGCTAATTTGCATTTCTTTATTTTTTTCTTTTTTGCAACATTTTAAAAGTTCACTCAAAATTTGTATTGCATACGGATGTAAGCATGGCTAATGTCGCTTTACACATACTGATAACCATTTAAGGTAGAAAGGTCAAATTTCACAGCAGGACACCTCATGTCACTAATGACATATTTTGATTTGAAAATAATTAGGTTGAGACTCAAGGTAAAATGTTCTTAAAATGATAAAATCTGCTTAACATAGACACTTGGGTCAATGATGACTCTTAGGTCACTCCTAGGTGACTTCAAGGTCACAAAATAAAAGGTCAATATCACAGGTTAGCGTTTTTTTTTCTTGTTTCGCCTTTTTTGTCTAAATTTAAGTTTTATTGTTTTTTATAATTTGTAAATTTACCTTTTTTCACTTTGACAGCTCTCTTCTGGTAGTTGAAACCTATTGTATTCTGCTTTTTTGGCTACGTTTTTGTTTATAGTTACTGTTTTTCTGCTAATTTTATCTACATTTCTGCTCCTTTCTTTTTCTGCTATTTTACTACAGACCTTTAACCCACATTAACAGTTTTGCTATTAAAACTTTCAGCTTAATTTCAGCTTTTTCAGCAGCTTTCAGCAAAAAAATTTCGGCATCAAGCATTCACAAAAGCGAATTCYCTGTTTTATGTTTCAATCTGGTTGCAACGACACAAGAGCAAGGTCCTGTAGCTCAGTGGTTCCCAAACTTTTTATCTTCTGACCCAAAATATCAAAATATTCATGGCAAAAACTTGTGACCCCAAATATTACTGGTCTGAGTACACAAAATTTGTTAATAACCCTAAAAACAAAGGCTACGCAAAAATAAATACACATGTATACTCATTTTATGTTTTTGTAATAATTATAGGGAAAATATTACATCACCAATTATTTTATTACCCTTTAAATTAGTTTCTGAAGTGCAGTGGTTCCCAAACTTGTCAACTTTTGACCCACAAAATAACAGTAGCAGAGATCTGTGCCCACAACTACTTTTGGATGATAAACATTTGTATCATGTCAACTAAAGATGTGCATAGTAACAATATTTATTATTGTCCTGATGCATCTCAGTAATCCAGGTAAAAAATCTAAAATAAAAAAATTGTGTAGGTCTTCTGGACGGGTTCTTCTCTAATGAAACGTTTCGTCTCTTCTCCAAGAGACTTCTTCAGTCTGAGAGTTTCAGGCAAAATTCAGGCTTTTAAGCCCTGCCTCCATGTGACTGATACTCAAATCACATGGCTATCGTTGACACCTAATTAACACTTTAATTAACCTAATTAACCTAATTAACC